TTTATTGTACGATTTTAGGCCGTTAACTAACAGCTTAATTTCATTCAATCTGTCATATTTATTCTACGATTTTAGGCCGTTAACTAACGGCTTAATTTCGTTCAGTCTGTTATGTTTATTGTACGATTTTAGGCCGTTAACTAACGGCTTAATTTCGTTCAGTCTGTTATGTTTATTGTACGATTTTAGGCCGTTAACTAACGGCTTAATTTCGTTCAGTCTGTTATGTTTATTGTACGATTTTAGGCCGTTAACTAACGGCTTAATTTCGTTCAGTCTGTTATGTTTATTGTACGATTTTAGGCCGTTAACTAACGGCTTAATTTCCTTCAGTCTGTTTATTGGGAGATTTTTTTAGGCTGTTAACTAACGGCTTAATTTCGTTCAGTCTGTTATGTTTATTGTACGATTTTAGGCCGTTAACTAACGGCTTAATTTCGTTCAGTCTGTTATTTATATTGTACGATTTTAGGCCGTTAACTAACGGCTTAATTTCGTTCAGTCTGTTATGTTTATTGTACGATTTTAGGCCGTTAACTAACGGCTTAATTTCGTTCAGTCTGTTATGTTTATTGTACGATTTTAGGCCGTTAACTAACGGCTTAATTTCGTTCAGTCTGTTATGTTTATTGTACGATTTTAGGCCGTTAACTAACGGCTTAAAATCGTACAATAAGAATATAGTTATTTAATATTTTTTATTATATATATTAAAAAAAATATATTATTTATTTTTTTATTTACGAAATTATCATACCGACCGGGATAGTGGCTTAAAATCTCACAATAAACAGACCGTGATAGTAACATATTATGTCATTATATATATTCCCGCTTGGTCATCCATGAAATGCATTGTTTACATACATGTGTCTTCGGTGTTGACTTTTTGTCAAATAACGAATAATCTCGCTTCGACGGCGAAAAAGCCTTTTTCTTTTACAGTCGACTCAAGGTCTCTCTTCTCACTTGAGAATGATGACATGGAGTCATCGAAACGTTGTGTGTTTTTCTCGCTAGTGTTTATTCTTAAAGGTTTCCATATAGTCTCTTTAATTTCATTAAACGGCAACATCCTTGTCTTTTGTTGTTCAAATGTTTAGCTTTCGTTAAGCAGTTTATGAAACGTCACTCTGGAGCTTTGAGGTCGTATCTCAGATCCTGGCATGCAGTAACTTTATTGATCTTGCTGCTTACTAAATGACCTCATAACTCTCAGGTTATGAGTTGTAAAGCGTGGTTTTCGTATGTCAAGAAAACCGTAGACAATCGGCAATTTCACTGTTTCTCAATCTTCCCAGATTTTCTGACAAATAAAACCTTGAAATCGTAGAGATTCCAGATTGGCTGTCGGGAAAATTGGGAACGTTTCTACTTTGTTGGCTTTACACAGTTTCTCCCATGATCCATTCGGTGATCATTAACGGTGCAGCAACTGAGTACGCATCAACATGGACAAAATCCATTTATATTCCTCCATGGCGAAAAAGTGATCTCTCTCCAAAACAGTTTACTCCAACATTAAAAGAAAATATCTGCCGTTTAGTATCTTCCACGAATTTTATGTGATGTTAGCCACCTGACCATCCCACAAACGCTTGCGCATTATACAAGGATCTCACGTGTGACGCGACTCAAAGCGTTATTTAGGGTCTGACTCTCAGCAGATAGCAGCCTTCTACAACGAACAAGATCAATATGATTTTCTTCAACATTTTATTCGCCTGTGGTAAGTTAATTCACCTTTGAAATGAACTTGCAGAGTATCGCTTCTGTGTTATGTTTAAGGTGCAGAGTATTCACAGGTTGAACTTATAATTCACATGCACATGTAAAAACACCTCAGTTTGCAGTGTAATATTTCTTTCATCCGTTTAAGCATCGTGGTGGACCAGCTTCTTGTTAGTGTTCCAAGTTATTTCGATATTTCGATGGCTTCTTTTTAAGTTTACCTTTATTGAGCATTTTATTTGCCTGTGGTAAGTTAATTCACCTTTCAAATTAACTTTCAGAGTATCGTTGCTGTGCTATGTTCAAGGTGCACAGTATTCACAGGTTGAACTTATAATCCACATGCACATGTAAATACACTGTAGTTTGCAGTGTAATATTTGTTTTATCAGTTTAAGCATTGCGGTGGGCCAGCTTCTTGTTAGTGTTTCAAGTCATTTCGATATTTCGATGCCTTCTTTTCAAGTTTACATTTATTTAGCAGAATATTTGTGACCTCTCACGGAAAAACGTTCACTAACGGCTTTCCGTTTACAAGCCGTTTGTCAGCCGTCTAGAAAAAAATTGCATCCGTCTGAACGGTCTCGGTCATCCGTTCGTCGAAATCATCAGCCCGTTCGAACGGCTTGTTCACCCGTTCGTCGGAAACATCAGCCCGTTCGAACGGCCTGCTCATTCGTTCGTGAAAAACATCAGCCCGTTCGAACGGCTTGGTCATCCGTTCGTGACAAACATCAGCCCGTTCGAACGGCTTGGACATCCAGTACTGTTGTCGAAAACAAGACATACGAATGGCTTGGTCAGGGCGATCAGATAACGGCTTATTAAGCGACTATCTCGGTCTGTTTATTGAGAGATTTTAGGCCACTAACTCAGTCTGTATATTGTACGATTTTAAGCCGTTAACTAACGGCTTAAAATCTCCCAATAAACAGACTGAAGGAAATTAAGCCGTTAGTTAACGGCATATCAGTTCGCACGTTTTTCCCTCATCCACAGCTATTTTCATCCTGATTACAATTTATTATCCCCAGAAAGGGTGTTTTAATGGCACTGTCTTAAGTCATTAAATTATAAGTGAAGTTGGCTGAAGTAATAGTACCTTTGGAAAGCGTAAAGTATCTCTTTCCGAGAGTCCTCAAGCGTCATTTATTTCCGTGAAGTGCACTATAACTCTTTGCATGGTGACGCTGAGCGCTAAGTATTATCACAGTTGTGCAAGAAAAATAAAACTGGTGTCTTGTACACCTCACTAGATTTAAATTCTAGATCTGTGTTCCTGGCTGCAGAAACACTTCAAGGAAACAAAAAGTGCAGTTTTCCTTTAGTAGTCTCACAGGATGGAAATAAGAATCTACGATATTAGCGGCTTCATAATTTTTCATGGAGGAATTTTTGTCCAAGGGGGGTTAAATGTGCAAGGCTCACTTCGAAAGACCTCAAATCATACCAAAACAACGTGCCAACTGTATATTCGCAAAAATCTCTCCCTAGGGTGATTCTTTGGCATCAAATCAGTAAGCTGATCTGATTGCTGTCGAAGACGGCGATCAGTTAGATTTTAAAGGCTTTCGCGCCATTTTGTCAGACACCAAATTCCTTTCACCCTCGGTATCCTCGATATCCTGATTCAGAACGTCATCTTGCCTAGTTGAAGATATATTTTGTGCAAAAGTCGCGGGTTTGTTCTCTGATTTCAGACGAATGACATGAAATTTCTAAGAAATAATCAGAAAAACTATCCCTTGTGGTTAATGCAAGTGCAAATCAGATATGTGTCTTCTTTTACAATTTTTTTTGGAAAATGTATAACAAAACATTAATTTAACTCGACTTCCGCATAATATCGTGAATTATCAAAACCTCGTGTCTGCGTTATCTGCCGAAGCCGAAGGCTTGGGCAGATGACTCAGACACATTCACGATATCATGCTCAACCTCATTCAACAATTGCTTAAAGTCAATAT